TACACTTAATCGATAACATGATTTTCTTTCTAGAATGAAAATTTGGTGCTTAATCGTATCTCATCAAATCAATCTTGAAACGTTATAATATAAATCCACCTTAACCAATTACATGCCCTTTCTTTTCATTTGTTTCTTTTATTGTAACAAGAAAAGAAAATAAAAGAAGCTTCTCATCTTGACTTTCAGTATACAAGTAACATTGCTCGGTATTTTCCCAACCCAATGAAAGAGAGTTCAAAATTGTTGAGAAACTGAGCTCTTATTTGACTATTATTATTTAATATTCATTTTCAATCATATATTTACACGATAAAATATTTTGTACGTAAACTTAAAAAATTTCCTACTTTTAAACCACGCATTCTCTAAAAAATTCATTATTCGAAACTCGGCCCTTGTTTGGTCCGGATTAAAATCTGTTTTTTAATCCAAATCAAAGTCAAATAATCAATATTAACTATATCTTTTATGGGTCCCACAACTTTTCAACCACACATTTCAAAAGAGTAATGCTATTTGTCCCCACTTAGATTGATCACCAGTCTATGTAGCAATTACATGACATTAATTGATTGATTCAATCAAATGAATCATGTGACTTTGTATTTAAATGAATCTATTATTTAATGTCATGTAATTACCACATAGACTGAGGCTCAACTCTAGTGGGGATGAATATCATTACTCTTTTCAAAAATTTCAATCAGAATCTACTAAAAATCTAATTTTAATTTTCATCAAACACCACCGTCTCAATTTTTCAATTGAGAATAGCCTATCTGGATTCTAGAACCATATCTAGAAAATGAGTCACCCATTGGGCCATTAATTAATGTGACCTTTTGGGTTGTGTTTGGTGAAAGGAAAGAAAACGGGAGCAAATAGAACGTCAAATGATTGACTTCTCCATTATGAAAGGATAGCAAGGCAACCTTTTAGTGCACGAGTAGTGCTGTTTTGATCCGTTATTTCAAAGAAATTATTCTTCTTATTTTAAATAACATAATTTTTCGTAAAATAATATCACACGTAAACTAAAAATTTTTCTTTCTTTTTCAATAACACATTCTCCAAAATTTTTTTTTTTTTTTTTTCTTCAAAAAATTATCGTTTGAAATAATGGTGGCCAAACGGGGTAGTTTCATCAATCCTAAACACCAATCTAGTGAAAATTAAATGACATTAAATAATTAATTCAATTAAATATAATATCACATAATTTATTTAATTGGATATATCACATAATTTATTTAATCATATATTTATTTAATTGGACCAAACAAGGGCCGAGTTTCGAATAATGATATTATTTAATAAAAAAATTATTTAATGTCATTTAATTATGTGATATTATACTTCTTTTCAATTACACATTCACATAATAAGATATTCTACAAGCAAATTTAAAATTTTCCTACTTGTTAAACGCACATTCACCAAAAAATCACTGTTTAAAACAATATTTTTTTAAAAAAATAGCCACCAAACAAGGGCTTAAAGCTAATTCGGAATGAAAACGGAAGATTCTCACCAAAAAATTGTATGTTGTTTATCTAGTATTTGTTTAGTGGAAATTAAAATTAAATTTTTAATATATTTTGATAAAAAAATGTTGAAATATGTAGTTAAAATTAATTGTTGACTTTGATTTAGATTTTAAAATTCAAATTTTAGTTCCTACCAAACATGTGCTCATTTAATTTTTTTAATGCTGATTTGACCAATTGATTGTAGAGCATGTATATGAACCCAAATGATTTTGTGGATCAAGCTCAAGCCAATTTTTAAAGGTGACCTTCGATTTTTTTTTTTTTCCCCTTTTATGGGTCTCCAACGATTACAAAATATTGGTTATAACAGCTTGGAAAAGCGAATAAAAAGGTAAAATTTCAATGCCCATTAAGGAAAATATAGTCAATAATTTGCCTTGTAGTGCTTCATATAATAATGAAATTCCACTTTTCACTTCATTTCTTCATCCAAAGTTTCGTTCACTTTCAACCCAAACACAAGACTTTTCACATTTTCTATCATTTCCATTTCTTTTGGCCATGTTTGATAGCATGGCTTTTCCTTTGTAGATGTTTGATGGTCAATATTTTACCAGCAAAAAGTTTGCACCGCCGCAATTTCACGCACCCATTTTCCGAAAATTTGGTGAATTTGTTTTCCTATTGTTTTTACTGTAATTGATTTTCCAGGTTGTTGTTGTTGTTGTTGTTTTTTTTTTTTTGACAATTGGATAAAATTCTAGATATGATGGTAAAATTTTTTTATCACTTTTATTGACAATTTTCGTACAAAACAAAACAAAACCAAACGAATGATACTCGGTACGATAATTATTTTAAAAAAATATTTAATTTTTTTTGGCAAGTGGAACAAATTCTAGACCAAATCGTAGAAAAATTTATCACTTTAATGAACAATTTCTATAACAAAAAATCAAACGGACACCAAACTTTTAACATTTTTTAAGTGAAAAATTACACCAATCAAACACAATTAATTACAATTCTCAAAAAAACAAATTTTAGACAATTCAATTTTCAATAAAATATTTTTTTTCACCAATTTTCCAAATCAAATCACCCTTACATTCAACTTTCCATCATATTACTGTCGTGAAAAATAATGAGGTGTGAATGACATCACAGTGTCGTCACTCAGTTTGCGGCTTTTGATGTGTATATTTTTCCGTTTCCAAAAGTCAACACCTAAACTCTCTCTCTCTCAAGGGTTATTAAGAGTTAGGCTAACACCTTCCATGATTCCATCACAGCCGTTGCTGGCCCATAAATTTCAAATTTTCATTTTTTTTTTCAAGTTTGGTACATTCACTAGTAATTATTCATCTCATATAATAATTAATTCTGGCAAGATTCACGTTATAGATATAAATAGGTTCAAAAAAAATCTCATATTTGACTTATTTTGTGTTTGTTTATCTCCCATTATTGTAAAAGAAATGAAGTAATGAATAATATTTTTTGGAGGGACAAATATCCTTGGCGAGGCTCAAAGCCAAAGAGCCTACGTGGCGCCCCCCTATTGGAGCGGTCAGCCCCCCCCCTCCAATAGCGGGGGCGCCAATGTTTTTGGGCATGGCTTTGAGCCTGGCCCAAAAGTACTATTCTTTTTGGAGAATGTGTGGTTGAAATTTAAAGTAAGTTTATTGGTTTGTGTGTAGAATATTTTATTGGACGAATGTGTGGTGAAAAATCTTACTGTAGCAGACAATATTTTGGAATAATAGGAGACAAACGAGGTCTTTATGTCTCGAATTTTATTCTTAATTTTTTAACACAGTGAAAAATAAACGCGTCTTTGTTTAGACTTTAAAACAAGTGCACTTTCCATGTTATTACATGCCCAATAATAAATTAATGAAAGTTGAACTTAAAAAATTAAGCCGATGATGGAAATTCTTGTTCAGTTTATTGAGTTTGTTTGACAATTTCCAACCAGATCAACTATTTCTGCAGCTTAAGACTTGAAAGAGTAAATGTGGACACCTAATTTTTTAAAGCCTTGATTTGGCTTATCCCAAGTAAAATATGCCCTTATTTGATAATGTTTTTTGAAATTATAAATTGTGAATTTTATGAAATGTGCTATTACAAATAAACAAAAATTGTAGGTCTAATAAAATATGGGATTAAAAAAAAAAATTGATCAATTTATAATCTCAAAAAAAAAAAAA